TTAACTCATTGGCTGCCAAAGACGTCTATAGACGTCTTTTATGTTTTTCAACGAGAGTGGCTGGGGGACGATCTGCTAAAGCTTGTCCGTAAATATCGGCTTCTAGACAGAGTATGTAGTAACAAATTGACCTTCTAGGTGGCAGTGCCACTTTTGATGGGAGATGAGCATAGACTGTAGGCAAATAAGAAAAAGGTAACGGTTCTATGAGAGAACATGTCGCCGGTGAGACGCAAGTCCAGGAAGAACGGAATAAGGTAGAAATTTTTTTTTTTCCTGATGTAAGAAGAGAGTCTACTCTTTCTTTTGGTGTGTTCGGTGTTTACATAGTCATAGCACAAACTATTCTGTGGTTCTTGAAAAATCAGTCAAAATGCTAAAAATAACTCTGGCAGTATGGGACTCTCTGTTCTGAAAATGGCTGGCAGTCAATGAGTTAAAAATAACTTCTTTTTTATTTAGTTTTCTGACCAAATGTGAATCACAGATCACGTAAAACAAAGATAAGAGTATCACCAAATGTCAAAGATATTTAATCTAATGACAACTTTTGCCAATAAATCGACTTTAAAACTCTTTAAATTGCGTCACTCTGTGTGTTTGTGAGTTAAAGTAAAAACAACTCTGGCAGTATAGGACTCTCTGTTCTATAAAATGGCTGACAGTACGATGAGTTAATGGCCGCTCAGGAGCCTCTTCTCCTCTTTGGCTCCCTCCAGGCTCCCCCCGATGCTGTGGTTGCTCTCCAGCTCCATGTTCATCCGGTTCTGCTTGAGCGAGTCCTCTCCGGCGAGGATGGACGGGGACGACCACTGGGGCCCCGGCAGGCCGGCGGGGTTCTCGGCGGATGTGGCGTTGCCGTGGCGACGGCGTCGTCGGCCGGAGCCGCATCGGAGGCGGGAGGCGATCAGGTAGAGCATCTCCGCCACGGTCAGCGCCAGGGACACGCAGGCCACCACCAGCATGAAGATGATGAAGACGGTCTTCTCGGTGGGCCGGGACATGTAGCACTCCACGGTGAAGGGGCAGGGCTTCCGCGAGCAGGGGAACATGGGCACCATCACGAAGCCGTACAGGTAGTACTGGCCCACGATGAAGGCCGCCTCGATCAGGATCTTCACCACCAACTGGGCCAGGTAGCTGCCCAGGAGGTCCCCCTTGATCTTCACCTTCCCCTTGTCGTCCGTGTACTTGGGCAGCTTGTTCTTCCGGGGTCCCCCGGGGCTCGCCAATTGTTCTCTGAGCTTGTTCTCCTTGTGGATGACGTGCATGGCGTGGGCCAGGTAGACCAGCGTCGGCGTGGAGACGAAGATGATCTGCAGCACCCAGAAGCGGATGTGCGAGATGGGGAAGGCGTGGTCGTAGCAGACGTTCTCGCAACCGGGCTGCTGGGTGTTGCACACGAAGTCCGACTGCTCGTCCCCCCACACGTTCTCCGCGCCGGCGCCCAGGACCATGATCCGGAACAGGAGCAGGACGCTCATCCAGATCTTCCCGATCACCGTGGAGTGGGACTGGACTTTTTCCAGCAGGGTCGACAGAAAGCCCCAGTCTCCCATCTTTACGGCGGCTGTTCAGGCAGAAGCCGACAGAAGCCGGAGAGAGAGGACAGGAGAGTTTACGTTTAGGTTCATGTTTATGCATTTTATCCAAAGCGACTTACAGAGTAGACACAATATTACATTTATCATCACTATGACAATAAGCTATATAGAGGAGAATCACTGATCAGAGTCAGTGGTGAGATAGAGGTATAGGTAGAGGGACTACAGAAGGAGTTGTGGAGGGGTAGAGGTACGGGTTAGGGTTAGGATAGGAGCTGTGGGGGGGTAGAGGTACGGGTTAGGGTTAGGATAGGAGCTGTGGGGGGTAGAGGTACGGGTTAGGATAGGATAGAGTTAAAGGACAGAGTTAAAGGATAGAGATAAAAGACAGAGTCAAAGGATAG